TCCCTACAGAAATGCTTTATCTGTACAAACTACCCTGTTAAGTTACCTATGACTGTCTTTGTAATTCCTAGCAAATGCACATGGAAAAGTTATCAAGAGAACCTAATTATATATTAAACTAACCATGTTGACAGTGTCTTTTCTCATCACTGTATCCTGTAGTTGTGCCAGTGACAAAGAGCTGATTCTCCCTTGGGCATGATTCAAGCCTTTTAGGTTGTATCCACAATATCATCATAGTGACACCACATAGGAATGATGTATTCTGTACAAAGCTGGACTTTAACCATTGCCTTGGGGGCAATTGTGGTATCAGGTGTCTAACCCAATTTTCTTTTTAGTTAAAAAAAAACAAAAACAAAACGTGATTTAAATTGATAAAAATCAAGAATTTCGAAAATAGATCTTTCACTCCATCCTTAACTTCTCCCATTTGGTGACCCATTAAAGAAACATGAAAGACTAGTTCTTCGGAGTTCTGTGCCAAAAAAACTCAAAGTGACTTGGTTTTTTTGCTTGTGTTGACTTTCTAGAGTTACCGCTTTAATATCGGGTTTTCCTAAATTAGTAACCAGGCTAAAATCAGATCCTGAAATCCCTCCTGAGGCGATATTCTCACTGAAGTCGGTGGCATCTTTGCCTGCTGCTGACTTTTAATTGTTCCAATTCTTTTGCTGAGTTCGTCAGTTCTGTTCTTTGGCAAATAGAGGGCGCACTTGAGTTACTCCGAATTTTTGGGTTATGAAATGTAACTATGTTCATTCAAAGGAGAAAGTACATTTTATTGTTTAATTGTAAAATTTGTCAAGCCTGAGATTCAGATGCCTAAAATTTGCATATTTGTTATTATAAAAATGTATAATCCTTGAGCAGAAGACAATGTTGTTACGAGAATAGTTCAGAGTCTCAAGTGTCAGGATATTAAAATTAGCAGAGCTATTTGCATAGAAAGGTCATCGTTAGTGTGCGCTGTATTTCATAGTAAAAGTTAATTATTAATTATTTGAATTCCGTACACAGTTTTTATAAACAATATCAAATTTGTCTCTGGATTTTTGAGGTGTACATTTAATTTTATAACCCACCAAAGATCATCTAAACGAGGATCATAGTAGTGAGTTGAAAATGTAAAAAAGGAAAATAAGTCAAGATTTTTTTAAAGCCTCGGACCTTTCCTTCTCGCTTTCTTTTCCCCCAAAAAGGAAAACAAATGGCAAAACAAGCAGTGACCCAACAAAAAAGAGAAATTTAATGAGCGTGTAACTGGGGAAAAAGTCAAACACATGCAAGAAGCATTACTGCATTTTAAACAACCTGTGGTTTATTTTCCAAAAGGTATGCGTCATGCCTTAACTGTTCCCCTACTGCTATAATCTCAGTTGCAGAAGCACAACACAAATATCCTCTTGGTCTGCTTATTATATTGGCATGTGAAGGAAGAATAGCGGGGTCTGAAACCTGGGGTTTCAATTTGCAAAACAAGTCGTCATATTCCCCACTATTTCTTTTGCCACTGTAATGAAGGCAAAGTATCAGCAATAAGTACATAATAAATCGACTTCTAAATATTTTTGTACTTACATCATATTTAACCCTTAGGGTGCGGCGCCGATCGCTGGAGTCAACGCTGCATCATGTTCTCCTGGAGGACGGGATACTTTGCAAATTAGGACCTGTATATTAGATCATTAAAAACGTTAGGTCCGTCTTCGGAAGGCACACAAAGCGTTCGTTACTTGGCCCTAAATTGATGGGGCCCTAGACTTGCAGATACTGACTAAAGTAGCAGGTGCGGAAAGCATTTGGAAGCCGCCTGCCAGAACCGAGGAGGTAATGCTTTTCCTGCCCATGTATCTCAGGAAACCAACACAATCGTCCCTCCGAAACAAAATTAACCTCTCGTTAGCCAGAAAGTCCCAAGAAAGCTCTAAAGTGTTCAGGACTCTCTCCCCACCCACCCACTTTCCAGACAATGCAATTACTGCCGTCAGTTACACTTTCGCTTTCCTACCGCAGCCTGGGCTTGCATGTAGTTCTCTGATAACCGGAGAAACTGTCACTGCAAAGAGGGAAGCACACACCTGCCGAGCTCTCCCTTCCCCGGGCCCCGAGAGGGCTTCGTTAAGCCCGCAGTTGTCTGGAACACAGAAACACGCGCGCACACGGACTAGTCTTGGGATCCTTCGGAGTAAGTTTCCATCAGTGCCCCCCTGGGCCTTCTGCCCTTTCTTCCACTACATGCTCATAACTGACCCTCGGATGTTCTTGTTGTCAGCTGAAAGCCCAGCGCTGGGGAGCTACACTGTATTCTCGAGCCGCTCCGGGGTTACATCAGTGGAAAGCAATGTGGAGCAAGAGGTGTTTATTTTATCAGATGCAATTTGTAATCTGCAGATATGTGAGCGATTTCAGATGCCCGGCGGGACACTGGTGAGCGCGCCTCCCTTCCTTGCCACGGGTGGCTCCTTCGAAAGCGAGAGACAGGTGGATTGGCGACAGACACACACGCAACCCCGAGACCAACAACACAAACAACTCACCACAAACATCCCCGGGTCTTCATCCCTGGTGCTTGCCAGCTGGGAAAAATGGCAGCAAGAATGGCACAGCGAGTCCGTCGGCGCTGTCGGGGGAGGGGGGGCCGGGACAACGGATCAGCCCCTTTCCCCTTGGAAGATGGGACTGATAGCGACACCTTGGCGAGCGATCGGCTTCATCTGGAGCGCCAGTGAGCTCCCCCAGCCCCTAGGAGTGTCTGTCTGTCTCTCTCTTCCTGGCACCGGCACAAAAGGAGGGGATGTGCCTTTAATGACAGCGTGATCTTTCCGCCACCTATAGCAAACAAATGAGGGGAGGGAGTGAAAAGAAAGCGAGCGAGAGTGCAAAATAATTCCCCCTTCCCTCCTGGGAAGCTGCTCTCTCTCCGGGGAGGGCGGGAGCCGCAGCACAGTTCCTCCGCCCTGGAATGTACCTGCACATCTGGCTGATCAGCTGGGCATGGCCGCGCCAGCCCTTCCCAGTCAAGGCTTTGCACAAAGGAGCCTTTTACTGGCCGACGTAGCCCTGCCTCGATGTAGGCTGCCTTTTACAATCTCCCCAGCCTTGTTCACAACATCGTATCAGACTTCCTCAGCAAGCAAACGCAGGCAGTGGGAGTGAATTACGATATGAAACCCCCTCCCCCAGCCCTCCAACAACCCCCTTATTTTGGGGGTATTAACAGCCCTTTTATAACCTGAGCATGCAAAGTAGTTTCAACAAGCTTGCCTCGATGTAGGCTGCCTTTTACAATCTCCCCAGCCTTGTTCACAACATCGTATCAGACTTCCTCAGCAAGCAAACGCAGGCAGTGGGAGTGAATTACGATATGAAACCCCCTCCCCCAGCCCTCCAACAACCCCCTTATTTTGGGGGTATTAACAGCCCTTTTATAACCTGAGCATGCAAAGTAGTTTCAACAAGCTTCCCCCCTCCCCCCCCCCCCCCACACCCCTCGCCTGGTTTTTCCGCGTGTTTTTCTC